CCTACAGCTGTGTCCGTCAGAATGGTACAAATATTTCGACATTCATTATCTATCCGCATCTTATGATGGTATCATGTTGCAATTCAATCATATTGAGAATTCTTACGCGGACATCCACATTACAACAGTTCGTAAGACCGCAAAGGAACTTTGAGTACTTGATTGATTTAAACTAATTTTATGTCCGATCGTTCAAAGTCTTCATTTTTCCAGTAGCATGATTAATCACATTACTCTATTTTGCATTAGTTTGGGGTGTGTGATAGACTTACCTCCACGTGGTGCACCCTGGGCAACGTATGCTCATACGTCAATAAAGTCAATAAACGGGATGTTGACTTCTGACTTCAAACTACCAGGACCCCACTGCATGTCATATTCGACCGCTTCCACAATACTCACATTACCTTTTTCTCTACCTTTGTGCCTGGCCGTCTTTTTCTCATCTGTGATTCAGCTAAAGGGCTAACGATAGTTATCAAAACGCCTGCCATTTGGAATAAATAAATAAGTTTTTCATCAGTTTTATGAAATTTCCTTGCTTTTTCAAAGTTTTTTTCAAGTTTTTATGCTTTCGAGGATATTTTCTGTGTCAGTTGTTAAAATAGCGAAATTTTTCTTTAAAGCCGCTTTGCCAACACATCCACAAAGTAGTATTAGAGAGAAGAGTTGGCAAATTTGAAAAATATAGAACATGCCACAACGATAAAGTGAAATGTGTAATGCTGCACATTAATCTCAATCAATAATTTCATTATTAAAAGTTATTTTAGTGTCAAGAACGTGAAGAAAGCTTCTTTTTTTAGTTCTTGAGACGAATACAATTCGATCAAAAAAATAATTTAGATTTACCCTCTACGTTAAAAGTACTACTAATAACAACTCTTATAGTCACTAAATGTTTATGAACATCAAATAACAGAAGGCAGAATAATAATTTCGGATATTCTCTTATTTACTCACTTTTTGAGATAGGGGTTAGTTTTCAACTTGGAAAATATAAGCGCTCTATTGCGAAAGTCTTTTCTTTCGTAAGTTTAATAAGATTCTTTTGGCTTGGAAAAAGGAACTAAATCGAGAAGGTAAATGAGACTACAGGTGAAATGGCTTATAAAGCACATATATGAGTAAGATTTGCTTGATGTTTACCAATAATCACTAAGACCAAACTCGTTAGCATTAAATCTTTGAACAGCACCAATAGACGTACTAAAAGACTTGTTCCAAATATCTGAAGAGATTGAGGTGTGTCTTCTTAGTCTGAATGCGTAAAATCAAAATTAGTGGAAATGGCTATGTGCTCGCAAACTATGGTGTGCACCAATGATTTTCATTTCCTCTACGTGACCAATTTCATATGCCATGCCTTCAAACTGCTCTATCGTATAGTGCTTTAGTTAGACATCAATAGATTTGAGAATACCCGAATTCTGCGAAGGTGAACTAACGAACTCCCCTTGATCTCCTATTGAAACTTCACCTGCCTTCTTCTCGGCAAACAGGCCTAAAAAGCGAGTATGATCCACCTTATTTTCCCAATTTTAGTTACCTTTTCAAAACTCGGAAACAGCTTATTTTGGGTTCAGGAGAAATGTTTAGTTAGTTTTTCGTGGGAATATTGTAGAGGTTGTTACTAAAACATTCGAACTCCTGGTAATTATCCTCCTTTGGTATACAAACTAGCTTTAAGTTTGTTATTCTGGGCACTGCCAATTAGCTTTTACTATTTTTAAAACGGGCTCTAATAGCTCCATGAGATCGACATTTAATTAAATGACAACTGAAGTTTCCGAATATCTGGATTTTATCATCTTACATTGAACTTGTCAAAAATAGGGTAAATTGACAAGATGAGGAACTTCAATGAATGATGTGCAATATTAGGAATAATATTCATCGAAGGCAAGTCAAAAATAAAAGAGGTTACTCAGACTGTAGTTTATCAGTTTGAACAAATTATCTTACCGGAAATACAGTTTGGACTGGGGTTATTGAGGAAAGAAGGTAAGCTAAAAGCTTTGGTGCAGACGCCATGACGTGCTCCTATAAACATGAAAATTAGATGATGAAAATTGTCATCGCTGGGCAATAACTAGAGATGTATACTTGCCCGTATCCGTTCTGTGAATGATTTTACCAGCCACTCAGTCCATACTGCTGTTGAGCCACTCTTAAGGCATGAATATGGATGGGAATAATGAGATAATTTGTGGATTTACACATGCACGAGTGCTCGCTTAATCACGAATGAATAGACCGACTCCTAAAGTTTGGATTCATAGAACTCAGACCATTGTGCAATAAAATATTCTATTTATATCACCCGACAGTTTTAAGTGAAACGATGGCACCGTAGAATTCTGGATAAAAGACTAATTCAATCTCGTTTGGTAGTGTTGCCTTTGACATCAACGACTCCCAACTTAAAGCCCGGATACTTGAGTCCGTGGTAAACAGGTTTGATGTGATCATCTCCTAACGAAGCTTCTATTGACACCTTGATAAGTTTTTGTGAGATAAAATGTCAAGGTGTGAGAGTTCCATAATCAGAGGGAGGAGATTTGATTGTCGCCTCAGTTTTGAGGCTAACAATATTTTTGCAAACGTTCTAGGATGCCCCAAGGTCTAGATGGAGATAACCAAAAAGGATTATATCTATATAGCTTCAATGAAAATTAATTGGTAATTTTTAAGCCTTTGACCACAAGAAAGCAACTTCATATTACTTGGCGTTAGAGCATCTAGAGATGTCAACACAAATCCTGGACCATTTTAGACTGGAGATGACGCTGAAACGAAATAAACGCAAATATAGAAATCGCTAAAGTCTGATAGAAACAGATAATTAATCAACTTATTTCAAAACGTAGGGTTGAACATAAAACTTCATGAAAAATATACATTAGAGTTTATGATGCATAATATTGGTGCGTGAATGCCACGGCGTATACTTTGTGCTTAAAAACGTATTCGGGGGGGGGGTATATTGTTAAGCTAAATGATTTAAACAGGGTTGCGTGATAGACTTACCTCCACGTGGAGCACCCTGAGAAATGTATACTCATACGGCAAAATGTCTAGAAGCCAGTAGTTGACTTCAAACTACCTTGACCCCACTGAACGTCTTATTCTACCACTTCCATAGTACTCATCAAACCCTTTTCTCTCTACCTTTGTGTCTGTGTTTCTGACATCTCTGGATAACTCCTCTGTTCCCTTTTCCAACTTTTGTGACTTTGGTGTTTCTCCCCTCTACGAAGCTTGAAGTCAACTTGTGGGCTAATGATAACCATCAAAAAGCCTGTCATTTGATACAAATAAATATTCGAAACATGATTTCATTGAAATGACTGACCACTCGTTAAGTTTATGTTAATTTTAATCTGATGTATTTTAGATTAATATTCTTTTCATTCATATCACCTGTGGCTATATTTGGTATTATCCGACCATGCACTTCTGAGAATAGTCTTTTTGCGCACTTAAACACCGGTCTTAAATGAGAGAAATCTAATGTAAATTTTCTCACTCTCATCTTGAGTCATGTGAATAGGCTGGTGGTGCGATCCTTTTAATTTTTTAAACTTTCTCATTTATCAATGCTTCTTAAACTGCACCTCCTACTTTCTTCTAATTCCTAAAAAGTGCATTGATTGGTTCAACGGCCAAGTTGGAGGGGTTGGGGGGAGGGGGTAGGGGAGAGGGGGGAGACCTATTTAATGATCAGGATTACAGTCAAAATATTCATAAAATTTGTAAAAGTTCTTTCACCGTCCCTCTCTATCTTACCATTACATCGGTAAAAGTTTTCGGACTGATGATAGCTTCATTTGATCAGAATATATATGAAAAGTTTTAGGTTGTTAAGTAACTTTAGATGAAATTGGCATTTACTTATTTATTTTGCATAATTCTTGTTTTGTAACTTAAATAATTCGGATCAAAGTTAATTGGGTCGGAATTTGAATAAGGAATTTCTGAAAACTGTCTTTTTATTATGCAGATAAGACTTTAACACAACACCCAAAGAGATAAGAAGTTTGGGCTGAATTAGAATAGGACTTACTTTATACAGATGATCAATAACACACTACTGATTCAAAGTAACGAATTCTCCACAAAGAGGAGGTATACAGTTTGTAAATATATGCTACTACTGGCGTGAAGCAAGATATAGTCCAGATAATCTACGAGTATACACTTCTTCTAACATGTAGAATTACTGAAAGTGGGAGTAGTAACTATCACGAGGAAGTTAAATAGTATGTTGCCAGGAGGGCTATCTGGGTTGGGGAGGAAGGGGGGTGGGTACGAGGTATTCCTATCTTCAGTCGACTTATTGAAGTTAACGAGAGAATAACAGATCAAGACAGTGTTTAAGGTCAGTTGTGGTATTTGGCCGTGCTATCAAGCTGTCATGGCCACTTACCGAGAAGTCTTATTTGGCCCCTGACTTCCTTGCTGCCATACTCTTTGTTATCGCCTGTCGAGGACCCACAGAACCCTAGCATACCTCAGTTGCAAATCTCAATCCGTTTCCGCTTCTGCTTGCCATGGATCCTATTGAAGTAAATTTAGTTCACAATTGTCCTGTCTTCTCTCAACCTCGGTGTGATTTGGGTTGAAAAAAGAGGTAGAAACGTATATATATATATATATATATATATATATATTTATTTATTTATTTATTTAAAGCAGGACATACAACCTTTTCTGCATTAGCAAATTTTTTTATTGAAAACAAATAATTTCGTTTGTAAATTGATTAACAAACTGTACAAGCATTTTTGCTCAATTTCAGATACTATATTTTTCGCCCAATTAATTCAGATATTTATTGATAAAATTGAAATTGAAATTGGAGTATGAACTTTTCTTTTAAATGTCGTAAACGAAATTGTTCAAACCAATTTCCAAATTCTTTTTCCCTGACGACTGGCGAAATCAAAGACAATAAGAAAACACATTAATTGTTTTCATGGGAGTAAAGGTATCAGCAAGTTATTTTAAGTTTACTCTCATAAATTACATTTAATTTCTACACCTGGTAATTTATGACGCGTCAAGATCAATACTAAAATATCCTCTGTAAAGACTATTGTAAGCTTTTATTTTCAAGGTAGAAATAGTGCATACAATTTTTCCTTTATGAATGGTTATGGTGTAGATGACATTCAAATCTACTAGCAAATTAAATTCCTAATGAATGGAAAACTGACGCCTAGGGTGTACTTATAGGCAAATGATTAGAACCTTATTTCGATGTTACTATCAAGTAAAGGCTTAAGGTGTAACAACCTATAAAGATACGAGCCAATAGGAATCAATTATTGATTGACAACAGCAAATTAAAGCGTCTATTTTAAGAGAAAGAACTTATGGATTTTGTCTGTGAATACTATTGGTTTTTAAGAAACGCGTGGATAACGTAATATATTTCTAAAAAATGTGGGTGAAATGTATTTTTTTTCATAAAACATTTGTTTTCAAAGAGTAGAAAATACTAATGCCAAAAGTTAAAATTATTTTGTCACTTCAATTATGAACAAACTTTTTAATGCATGGAAAAATCTCTTCGACCAAATGGCACCTTTAATTTGATTCTAAGACCCTGTCTCCTGTTAAGATTCGATTCAATGCAAAATATTTACCATAATCACCAACAATAATATCATATATTTATACGACAGAACAATTTATTAATGAGCGATAATTATAGCATAATTCGTATAATCTTTCTCTGCATCATCTGATCATGAGGGGGAATTGTGCAAACGCCTTGGTATAAAGTCTTTCGATAAGCGTGTATTTAATTAGCAATGGAAGAATATAATCCGCTCAGTTTTGCTACGCTTTTCAATTCTATCCCAATGCCATTGAAACTAAGGGGAATAACTTAGACTCCACGTTTTTCTTTACTTTTCATTTCTATTCTCCTTTTACTAATATCTAATTAATTCCTCCAGAATCAGCTCGCTGGACTTTGTCATCATTCACACGCTTTCCTAGTGGCTATTCAGTCGTTATTTACCTGTGGGCATAATTTTCATCATCTTTGGTTTCACAGTTTCAGTGCCCGGGTTGCAGTATTTACCTCCAATGAATGGCTAATCTCCCAACCTTCCCCCATATCAACCCCTTTCGGAATATGCCATAGCATGAGCACCCTGAATGAAAAGCTCATCGCGTAGTTCACTCGGTCCATATTATACTTGAGGTGTTGGTACTGCTCAAGTTGTGCCTTTAAGATCATTTGGTAGCGGGTGGCACCAATCTCCTAGAGTAAGGCAAAAGCGATTTCTACTCTCCCATCTGGGGCTTATTGTGTGCATGTTTACTATAAATATCTTTATTTATTTATTTATATCAAATGGCAGGCGTCTTGATGGTTATCATTAGTCCTTTAGTTGACTTCAGGCTTCACAGAGGGGAAGGAACATCAAATCGAAAAAAGTCGAGAGGGGTTGGGACAGATGAGTGTTTCAAAGATGTAGAGATAGACACAAAGGTAGAAAAAAGGTGAGGTGAGTACTATGGAAATAGTCAAATATGGCATAGAGTGAGAAGTCAACTGCCAGTTATTAGACTTTTTGCCGTATGAATATACGTTACTCAGGGTGCACCACGTGGAGGTAAGTCTATTGCACACCCCTAAATATCTTTATATGATGCTAATTATGTAAAATTTAGATTGGTGGGAGGTGATGTAAAACGTACTGATTTTCCAAGTAGAGAAAAGCAATTTGTAAAAAATGAAAATACATGCTTTGTGGGACAGATAAAGTTAAGATAAATAGGTCATTTAATTAAGTAAACAATTATTACTGATTATTCTTATGAGCAAA